GGGAAACAAGGACATGGAAGTGTTGGCCAAGCATGGGTACACACCAGCATCCGTGTTGGAACACCAAATACTGCAGCAAAGAACTGCAGTGTAGGAAATCATAACAGGGATAGTCATTTCTTGCAAATGAAATCATGATAGATACTATCATCAGCAATTGCACATGCTACTACTTCACTAAACAGTGACTCATACATGTAAGTCCCTCCCAAGCAAGCAAACACAGCCAGGTTAGAGTCCTAAATTTTTAATTCTGCAATTTCAGTTTTACTGCAATATACTGCCTGTAAGGGGGCAGAGTGGTATTCCACATCCTATACTGTCAGTTCTGTGCCAAACGAAAGCCATAAACAGTCCACGCTAAAGTTCACTGTGTAGACTTACCCTGACACTCCAGAATGACAACTGATATTCAAGGCATGACTAAAATCTGCTTAGCTCTGATAGCTTCCCGAACTGGCATGGACTCCTCCCTGATGACACCAACAATTAAAATTGTATGAAATGTTTTGCTGATACAGGCAGGCCTGACTAACAAAATCTCTATCTATCTTTTCAGCCTACAAAAAAAATGTGGCTGGATACGTCAGGACAGAGCATCATCCATGGCACGATGTCAAAGGTCACTGTGCTGAGGTAACCAGTCAAGTGCGGGGAAAAGACAGTCATTGATTTTCAGCCAATTACGGAATGGCTGATATCGTCTAAGCCCCTACCCTACTGTATATGCACCATGGTGACATATTCTCTGTAGTGTAAGCCTTATCGACTAGCTATATTCAGATTGTCTGGCTACCCTTGGTTATGGTTGTGAAATTCTTTTAGGCATCAATCCTACATTAACAAATCATGCATGTCACCAGCTTGAATATTATGATTGAATTCCCCCTTTGGGTTCAACCAAATCAGGGCCCAAAATTTGTTTTGGGGAATAGGTGCACTGGTGTACATTTTGCCTGAGGCTGAAAATTTAGGTGCACGGAAAAAATTGGATATAGGATTAAGTATGTTAGCAAAATCTGACATAGTTTTGAGGTTTGAAAAATTGCAACAAACCCAGATTTAACTTTTAATTTGTATGCTTTACAACAAGGGCTCTACCATTTTCCTCAATATGTTATATACTTTTAAGTGCATAATATTACCTTTAAATATGAAAAATGTCAATATCTCAGTGGACCCAGTCATAAATTAGGTGAACATCTAAATTTTGAATGAATAAAAATGCTCAGTATTTTGAGCCCTGCAAATGCATGCAAAATTCAAGTCTACTCAACCCAAAACAGAAACAGCTGTGTTATGACTAAATACCACGTTACAGACATGCTAATAATATTTAGCAGCTTCCTTTCTTGCCAGCAAATATCATTATAGCTATACCAATCTGAGATGTTCAAAGAAAATTTCGTAATTTCCTTTTGACAAACAAGATATGGTCAAATGCTGTCTATTACATTACATGGAAACTATTTGTTATTAACCATTACACATGCATATATAACATGCTTGATGGAAATATCTTACCAGTTACAACTGAAAGTCCAACCTTGTTTAATATTCTAGACAAGTCTATGTTGTCTGCCCCTATCACTGTGTCTGTCTAGAAGACTGCTGTGAGTTAATGTACATTTCTGTGTTCTGTTTGGCTCTATGTTCCAATATCATCAATTCCATCAGCAGTTGCAAAATTACATATCCTAGAATATTGTAGGTTTATGTAATATTGTACGCACTATTAGACCCTGTTCATACCAGACTTATATTTAGCGGTTTCAACCGGTTTTTCAAAAACCCGACTAAAACCCTTAGCGTTCATACCAGACTTTTGATAACCGGTTTTGTAAAAATCCTGTCCGGTGAATATCCAATTAATCGGCCATGACTGCAGTTTGATTAACCGTTCCTCCCGCTCTTCTGATTGTTGTCCTTGGCCTTCTTGCTTGTATGCCGTCTTCAGTTTGTTTTTTACCTTAGTGCGGCACTGATCCTTTAT